GTGAACATTGTGGTGGCACCAAATTGATTGATAAATTAATTAAGGACATGCTTCAGTTCCTCTTATTTGAGGGTGATACTGTGATTCTGGTTGACCAAAGAAGCTGACCAATCAGAGCAGGGGAAATCAGGGTGCCACAGAAGGGTGACTGATATGACAGATATGCTAGCCCCCTCCTCTGTGGTTGTGACTAAAACAGAGGCAAGACCCTGCTTGCTGATCATGTTAAAAGGCATGGACGATGATAACCATAGTGTTTTCATGACTAATAAACAAACCACATTCACTATAATGTAACACTACTATTCTCTGAGAGCCCCCCCAGCCTCATTTTCGTGTATATCACTCCTGAACTCCATCCCTGAGTTCACCCAGGGACTGCTTGTGGGATCCAGCGTACCATTTCCACGCGCCTAACACCTTCAGTACAGTGACTCCCAGTGTCCTCTTAAGAGGTTAAGGGGTAAATCTGTCCTTATGGCCGTTGCTCCAGCTGTTGGCCAGGGTCCACCAGGAACTCAACCAGCATAACTCCTCACTCGGCACGGGCAGCGCGTAAACAAGCCGTCCCCAGCTGAATTACCTTAAATGGAAGCCAACCAGTGGTCCTGAGCCTCAGCGGTGGACTTGAATTAATTCTGCTGGCTGCTCGCCCATGCCGGGGAAGAGAAGAAAGGCAAATTGGAGCCCCGGAGTTTGTTTTAGTTTTCCGTTCATTTGCGCTCATTTCCAAGTCACCCCTTCCGGGACGAGCAGGCGGCTTTGGGGCTCGTTGCTCTTGTTGAAGGCGGTGCCAAACGCTCGGCGATGTCGGCGGCTCGCTCCAGCGGTTCCCCTCCCGCCCCGGGGACTGCCGCCGCCACGTCTCGACGGTGAACGAGCGCCGGGAAGCGTCCCCCAACATCCGCACAGCTCACTGACCCTGCTGCCGTTTGTTTAATTGGGTTAATTTTCCCTAAAACCGCTGTCCCCTGCTGACAACTCACCCCGGTTTATGTGGCGTCTCTCACCCAGATCTCGCTGGCAGAACCCGGTCCCTCTCCCCTCGGCTCATCCACACTTCCGATCACGTCGGAAATGGACCTCTCTCAGACACAGGAGTTGGGGGGTCAGTCAAAGCACAGAGGCGAACGCAGCTCGAAGCTCATTCTTCAGAGCTGATGAATGTTTCCCTACATTGCAGCTCGCACAGAGATGAAACGGGGGGACCTTTCTGAAAATGCCATTTGCCCACATTGATAGACAGACTGTCTGCAGTCAAGACAACACATATCCCTTCCAATGACAAACAGTTCCATTTCCCTATAGGAGATGTGCTCTGAGAAAAATGACTGCAGCCAAAAATTTTATGTATCCCCGAAGGTAAAACATATATAGTTTTTTTTTTTTTTTTCCCCTCACAGCGTGGACAATGTGGGGGCGACGGGCTTTGATTAAAGACGGGGGGGCTCTGAGAATGGAACCGTGAGCTGGGCTTGTCCGGAAAGCAATTGCTACTTTACAGAGGCGTCTATAGCACCCTGGGACACGAGGCTGGACCATGCATTTGTGGAGGGGAAAAAAAGCAATCTGTCCTAATACACTTCTTTCTTTTTTTTGAGTGGTCTAGTGTATACTGCAACACATCCATCACAAAGCTGGGGGTATTTTTTTCTTCTTTTCTTCAGCAACCCCCCCCTGCTCTGATCCCTGCGTGAGGCAGGCACCAGAAAGACAGAAAAAAAAGAATTGAAATATGAAGAGAGTGAGAGAGAAAGAGAGGAGCCTATTCCTCTGCAAGCTTATTTCTCTTTTCATTGTGTCCTGTGATGGACATGGCCACATACTAATCAACAAAGGCCCCAAGGCTCTCTATTTGAGTGGTGTTGTATGGCAACCTCTAGACAGCTCGCCATTTTTGACAGACATTGATAGAGCTCTGGTGCTGACCGGAGAGTGATGTTGACCCGGTCGGGAGATTGAGGTGCGATTCTCGTCCTTTGCCCTGGGACACAGCTCCTGCCTGTCCCATGCTACTCCTGGGCAGCAGTGTGACGCACTGGTGAGGAGCAGGGCTCACAAGCTAAAGGCTGGGGGTGGGAAAAGAACGGCAGATTACTGATCACAGACAGGAGCTCGACCCGGGGGGAAACACAGTCAGGTCCCGGAGAGAATAAAGGTTTATAGCAATGTGAGAGGAAAGTGTTTTGTTCGCTGTTCAGAGCAGCCCACAGACAATAAAGGCTTAGAATAGTGTGAGAGGCGAGTATTAGTTTTAGTTAGCTGCTGAGAAGAACCCCGCCAGACAGAGAGCGCATGCCGTTTTTGGCCCTCGTGGGACCTCGCCGTTACCTGTGCTACTCATTCAACAACAAATAAAGTTCAAAAATCAAAATTAGTATCCAGTTATTTTCACTCGCACCCCACCCCTTAACTGTCAGACTCAGCACTGTATCTGCTGTGGCACCCATAAGCCGACAGAGAACAAATTTGTCCCATTTCCTTCAAGCATTTTGTTGCACGATCTTGGGTCCAGAGTTCTGGCACGAAGACGTGAACGTCGCCCTTGGCTCTGGGATGTTGGGCTTTAATTCTGTACTGTTTTTTTGTTGTTTTCCAGTTTTCTGGTCCTTTTTTTGTAATTTGCCCCTGAAAGGAGAGCGTAGCAAATGCGTTTGGTTATAGTGTGGGTAAAGTGGTACCGAAAAAACCCCCGTGGGTCCATCAGATGTTTGTGGGTTCGCCTGTTCCTGTTTGTTGCTGAGCACACACTTACATACGTCAGCCGCCTGGCAAAGCTTTTTGTTGCGGTCTTCATATTTCACTTTATTTACGTATTTTATTCCCCATCAGTTTATAAGGAGGCAAACAATACAATTTGTCCAACCATGTGTTCCGGTCAGTGGTTTCGGTTAGAATATCTGTAAGTGAAGTTTGCCTGACAGCATTTTCAATGGGTTCGAATCACAGAAAAACAACCATGGGACCATATCATGTGATATGTCATTCTAACAGCTATAACAAGTCAAAGAGCGCAGTCCATCAGGACAAACAGGATGGTTTAGCTTGTGGATTGTTATCCGATGTCAAAATCTTCAAAACATCAACCCTCACCCCCTTATCTATCGACAAAAATCTTCCGCAGTTTCAACCCGATGGCACGTTAGGTTGGCACACGTGTTGCACAGAGACAGAAAGGATTTGACAACTGGACAATAAAGTTGGAGACAGTGTTGCATCTGAGCCTGTGGGCCTGTGGATGTGTATGAGTGTTTTTTTTTCCTTTTCCTTCAGTACAGAGGAAAGTAGATCGTTTCCTGTTATACTGCAGGCAGATTTTCCTTTTGGAAAACAAAGATCTAATTTCTCTCTTTATCTCATTATTCCTAACAGACAGCTTGTTCCCTGAGCTGCCACTAAGCTTACGTTAAAGGCAAAAAGACACAAAAAGCAACTCTTAAGACTGTTGTTTTTCTCTCTCTCTTTCTCTCTCTGAGGAAAAAGCTTTGTTCTATGCAAGCATGAATAACTACAGTGCTTGGAATGTAGGACTAGCATAAAATGAGAAACGCATACCTCTGGTGATTGACTGCAGTTCTAACTTTGAACCAGCCATTAATCACTAATTACATCTCTGTTATTCACCTCCAAAGTTTTTAAGTAGGGGGAGTAGAAAAAAAACAAAACTTTGGTACACGGATAAAAGTAAGTTGGTACTTTTTTTTTGATTGTCCCCATTCGTTGTTCGCTTTTTGTTTGTGCAAAAAGCCATTCTCCTTTTCAGTGGTACCATGAAAGCCACTCCTGTTTATGCACTGAAACTCTTCAACCAGAACCGGGCCTCACAGATTCACCTTAACGACAGATCTACTCAACTATATTTTGTTAGTTAAGGATGCAGCTAAACTTGTTTTGCAACACAAACAGGGTGTTTTTTTCAGGCAAATGTCCTGTTGCTGTTACATGTAAAATGTTCACATGCTTCAGTCTGTGTTGTTCAGGTCTTTCCCAAAGCTGCCTGAAAAGGCACTGAACGTGACTGTTTTACACAGATCTGCAATTTAGCCATTAGTGACATGTTTGACATTTCTTTTCAAAGTTTGATTTAAGAAAAGATTATTTTTTTTCTCCCTATATGTACTAACGACCCTCCTTTTAAGTGCCTTCACAGTCTCCAATTTGAGAGCCGCGGTTACAGAAGATCTGGTTGCGCTGTAATGCACTGCTCAGGATAAAAGGATAATGACCGTACACTGCTTCATCATAATGATGATTACTGGTTACATTGCGATATTAGTGTGCAATTACCTGTGCGTTCCCCCAGACTCATTTACGCAAAATCAAAGAGCAAAGTTAACAGTTAATTTCAGAGTAACTGTATCAGAGATGAAGTAGAGAAGCTGTAAATAGCCGCTGAAGGTGATTACTATCAGCGCGTCTCCTGACGAGACGGCGCACGAGACGGACACCGCGCTCCTCTCAAGACGCTAGGAGGACGGATCTGCCGTCAGCCTGTCCTGTGACGCCTGAGCGTGAGCGGATTTGGCGGGTCATCACCGTTTCTCAGGCAGGCGCTATCGACGCCTTGCTCCGCGGCAGCGGTGATAGCAGGGGACTGAGCATGGAAGCGGGTTATTCTTCGTGACCCAGTCATGAAGACGTGTCTCACCCCCTCTTCAACCTGACAGCACGTTGTCTCGCCTCCCTTTCCTCTTACCGAGGGGAGGGGGTGAGGGGAGTAACCTAGGTGCTGTGGGAGGGCGAGGCGCAGACGGAGGCAGATTGGGTACGGCTCCGTCTCTTTAATAACAGGGGCGACATAATAACAGCTGAAGGGCCGACTGTGTTATTACATTTTCATCTCTAAAATTTGGAGCCGTAAATTGCTCTAGAGGTATTTGATCAAACCCCTCTTCCAGCATCCTGTCTGCTTCGACCAGCCCACAAAAGAACTATGGGACTGAATTAGTTTTTTTTTTTTTCCTTTCTGTTTATTTTACTTAATGCTATTTTAATAAATTAGCAGTGTGGCATAGTGGTAAGGTGCAGGGCTCATAACCAAAAGGTTGTTGGATCGATTCCTTACTGCGGCACTGCTGCTGTACCCTTGGGCAGGGTATTTAAATGGATAAAATTGTAACCTGTGTAAGTCGCTCTGGAAAAGAGCATCTGCTAAATGGAAATAATGAAATGTAATCCTTTATTTAATGCTTGAACTGAACAGGTTTCAAAACAGTATGTTCCTGCATGTTCAGGCTGCACGTTGTGCGATTTCTGAGCCCTGCTCTGCAAACAGCCGGTGAAATTTTTAAAATTTGCCGTGAATCTGTTTGTGTTTGTTTTCTGCTCAAGCAGATGGCTTTTGTGCTGAGGCGAGAGGTTTTGCAGAATTTGAGTGCTTTTTTTGCATCGCTTTGATGAGTTGTGCTCCACAGATGGATGGTTTTGGGGGTTATTTCAGGAAGGGGTGTTTAGAGGCGTACAGAATTATTCCGACCGGTGTTAAATCATGCTTCTTTTTTCGCGGTTGAATGGGGAGCATTTCCTGGGTTCCGCTATGTCTCTGTGTACTTCTGTTACCCGCCTGCCTCCGAGAAGCAGCTCACTCGGCGTGGACATGGACTTTGCATTTTGTCAGAATTCTCCACACTTCCCCGAGCCGGAAAGCTTTCGTCAGCTTGTCATGGGGAGTGAGATTCCCCCAAACACAAGGAAAACATCATTTTAATTTCCCAGACAATTGGAACAAACTCCAGTCCTCGGTACACTTTTATCCGTGAATATGCATCCATGCATATTCTACATGCAGAGGGACAAAACGACTTTTCTCACAGTATTCCTTCAGTGTTTGAATCCACCCCAGGAGAACATAAAGAGGCATGGTATGTGAGGCAATTCTAAAGATCTCAAATGGCAATTTCAGCTAAACTTCAAACAACATGATTTCATTTTTGTCATGTTTTGTGTTGTGAAAGGTGAACGAATTTGGGCCTAAGGTTTAAGATGAGTGTGAACTGGTTGCATGAAATTGTAGTTAAATATAGTTTCACATAATCCATTACATTTATGAAGGGCTGAAAAGTGGAGGTCCTTGTGATCTCTTCAGACCTGAACTATTTTCTTCAGAAACAGGACTTTGAACGTGTTGGCCTGTAAAGACCAAACATGTTGAAAAACCTTCACAAATATGTATTTTTGTTCATAAAAATAACAGGAAAAAAATAGGCCTCTTAGGATATTGTGTGATGATGACATCTATTTTTCATTTGTCCTCATCCTTCTTTATTGCATCCAAAAAAAACCTTGAAAATCCATATTTTTATTTTTACCTTTTTTTTTAAAGACCACAACAACAAAAATAACATGCCTTTGATCAGAAGGCTGTGCTTTTATTCCTGTCTAAATGCAAGTCCACATTCAACATTCAGTTTAATATTTTTCCTATTTTATACTTTGCAGTAAGTTATATTTTGGGAGAAGTACCTTTTTGTCAGTCAGTCTAGTATAGACAGATTCTCTGTGCTTAGAGCAAACTCATAGGCCTACTCCATTACTTTGTGTTATCAAGATTGTACTTATTTTGACTTAGTTGACCCAAAAAACACATGTATATCTTCTGTGAACATGTTTCTGTTGCAGTTTATCAAGGGCATAAGCAAGTTCAGAGGCTGCAGTTAATGTCATCTCTTGGTGAGAAGGTTGGCCCATTCCTACAGTATCGCTGCGCGGGGCCACATTCCTCATTAGACAGCTTAATGCCTTTAATGTTTACACTGTGGAGTAAACTGTTTTGAAAAAGTGCCTTCTGATCTGTCATGCATTGACAGCTTTGCTTATGAGGAGCGTGTAGGCCCGGGTTAAAAACATACATGCGGGCAGTTCGTGTTAATTAAGCTGCCAGGGGGAATAACTCTCGGGCTTTGTGTAACTGGATCCTTGCTTTTCATGGCAGCTCCACTGAAGGAGAACGGTGGGGATCTGAGCCTCTGGTCCTGCTGTCTTCCCTGATGTTGGGTGGAGGGGGAGAGGTAGCCTAAGGGGGTTGCGTCTGGATAAACGGTGAGGGGACGCCAGGTAACCTGACTCTGGCAACCCAACATGCAATCCCCCTCCACCGCCAGCTCAGAACTTGGGGAGACGCCATACATCCTGTCACTCATGAAAGATGCGAGATTCTGGCAGGACTTCAAGAGCTGACTCCGAGGCCACACTGCGCAGATATTAAACATTTGTTTCACAGTCCCCCTAACCCTAACCTAATCTAAACAGTGGTTTAATTGATGAGGAGGTGAGATCGCCATTGTTAGGTAAGCGTAGCTGTTCCTCTGCATGTGGCGTACAGGTTTGTTTACCCTTGTGGTGGCACTCGAGGAGGGATCTGGCCTTGATTATGCAGACTGGAGTCAGCAGAACGCGTTTCGCATCGTGTTTAGGGTGGACGCAATGCTCGGCGGGCATGTACATCACAGAGATTATGGGTAAATATGTTTCATGACTAAAACGCAGCAGAGGGGTTTTGACAGCGTCTTCTGGCTGTTTTTGATCTGCTGTCATCTGTTCAGCACAAAACTGTGGATTTGACGTGTTTCTTCAGTATATTCTCCATGGCCGAAATCATAAACTTTAAATTCAAAAAGCTACATTTTGATTCATTGAAAAATGAATTTGCTGAAGCATTAGTACGACCTTGTTCACTAAGGCATAACACACAGTTAAGCATAGAGGTAATGGATTAAAGCTTTTGTAATAAAGTTGCTAAATATATTCTCATGTCTCACAAAATACATTGAGTATAGCTGTTATTACCTCAATTTCAGCAACCTTTTATCAGATAATCTGAGAAGTGTAAACTGCATGGCATCTTAGCCTCACTTTATTTGATCATTGCTGTTAATTCTCACGCTTGCTAGTGTCACACTAAAAGCTCTCCCTCAGATCAGTCCTATTGTCCTCCATAGCCGGTAAAGCCTGGCCTGGTTAAAGAGTGCCCTGCTACCCAAACCAACCCCCTGCCCCCCACCCCAATCCCCAATTACCCCCATCCCAAAAAAAAAAAAAATCACACACTGTCACTCATCCCGGCCCCTCAAGAGACTCATCCCACCCCGCAGAGAAAGTCAACTGAACAGTTCTGCATGGTGAACACTCTCGAACGTCAAGATTTTTCCTCCCCCCCTTCCGCCATGCTCAGATTTACAGTACGGCCAGTGGGAATAGGTGCTCTCCAGCCACACCCTGACACCAAACAGCCCTGCGGCCATCAGACTGGCAGGATAGGATTAAACAAACCCCACAGTGCCGCTGAAGCCTGGCCACAGAGTAAAGGAGGAAGAACGCTTTGCAGTGCAGGCCCTTTAGCTGATTATGGATTCACTGTGATCTGCCTGAATAGTTTCGTAAACCATGCAGACTGAAACTGTACTGAAATCCAAGCCCAGCCCAGTCTGCACACTTCAATACCCGAACCGAAGATGATAACTTAATTTGTGACCCCACCTGGCCGGAGCTTGATCAGAGGGGGGTAATTACTAGTGTAATTACACTTGTAATTACCAAACCTGCTATTGGTAATAATGAACTCAAATCAACATTATATTCAGCATTCTGCATCATATCAAAGTCTCACCAAAAGGTCTCGTTTTTGGTTAAGGACAGTGTGCTCAGTGAATAAAGGAGAATTCAAAATAAAAAATAAATCCCACAGTATGCAATGTTCAGCAGCTTAACAAATGAACACAATATAGTCTGTCCTTGTTTGGGAATGAGTGCACTATATGGTGAATAAAGTCTAGACAAGTAAACAAATAAAAATGGGAAAATTCAGCTCAAGAGTTCTGCAGAATGAACAGGCCTTATCAGGAAAACAGGAGGGTACTTGGGCAAAAAAAGTTCTCTCTGTCTAAATAAATAAAACATATCAACCCTGAATGGAGGATCATTTGGTAGCCTTAATGTTCCTTTGTGTGTATGTCATTCATTCAAATGAAATTTTCAGCAGGTGCGTTCAAACCTGACATCTAGAAATGTTGAGCCCAAACCAAACCAAACCCAAATGCTATATTATTATTTTAGGCCCAAATTGCCTAGAAACTGACACATTTTTCAGGTCCTATTGAGTCTGCTTTTCTTGCCATGCTGTGAAGAGTCAGGAAGAGTTTCGTATGTCTTCCACCTAGTCTCTAGGAGACTACTGGAAAAGACCAGGTCAGTCACAAGATCTGTGTCAGACTCCTTTCTTGTTGTTGGAATTCAGTTTTCTCTGAATATTTTACTCCCTGATTAAACAGTTTTGATCTGTTTCTTTCCTCCCATGAGTTTTATGTGTTGTCCCAATCTTGCATCTGACCATTACATGTGTTGGCAGTTCTGTAGGTATGCTGATGACTTCTATATCATAGCACACCTTACACCATTAACACGTGTTATGGGGTATAATGGAAAGCCCCCTGCTTTTAACTTAATCGCAACAGTTCTCAAGACCCTTTATTAACTTAATGGAGACCTAACATGGTATGTTATGAACCATGCTAACTGTGCTAACCAGCAGAGTCCTCTGTCATAACATGTTATTCCAGTGCTGTTGTTCTGATATAGGTATGATACTGTATAACACTCGCCTTGCTTATACTTGTGTCTGTGTAGCTTCTCACCCAACCACTTGTTTGAGTTTAAAAAGAGAGGGATTGATCTGAGCCCTCTGCTGGATGTTCATTCAGTGTGAAGCCCAAGCCAATGCTCACATTTGCCCTTTAACCCTGGGCTGCGGATAGCAACCTCATTGGCCATTCTCCCCACGTCTCCACCCAGAACATCGTTTACTCAGAGGCGGAGTCTCGCCATCAGGCATCGCAATTCCATCCGCTCACGGACAACAGGAATCCCTGCAACTGAAGGAGGGGAAAATCGTGATCGCTGTCTTCTCCCTTTGCAGAGATCAGCTGCAAAATCAGAGTCATCCACCAGGGTTTCTTCTGTCTTATAAACCCGACACTCGGATGAGAGTGATGAAAGACAAGGGCTTGAGCTATCAGAGGTTCTGTATACACTCGAATTGCGATGGTTTAGAAGTGACTGCAGCAAGTGCCAAGGAA